GACTTAACTTCTCCCATAGTTTTATTCACTACATGATACATCTGGGGCCTGTTTCATCAAAAGGTCGTATGCCGAGTCGTAGCGCTACGCCGGAAAGTTAGGACTAGCACGAAGATTTGCGTTTCATGAAAGAGTGTATCGTTACGCCTGACGGAATTTAGGCCAAACTTTTACGTCTACTCAAGGGTAGGCGTAAGTTTGGGCGTAAAGTTATATTAGGCAATTTTACTGATTTTAAAACAATTTAGCGAGTTTTAAAGAAAAAGTACGGTTTTAAGAAGTCTTTAAAATACAAACATTGCATTATTTAATCATACATACTATGAAGTGAGGGGGGGGGCGGGGTTATGTGACAACCATTTGGGTTGACTGAAGAACTTCATACTATTATTTTAATAGAATTCTTCTTAGAGGGAAAAATTGTCATAATAGAGATTTCGTCTACCACCATTTCTCATAAGGTACTGTAAATCGAGTAAAGTGACTACACATACATGTATAACTATATTTTTACCCCCGTTTTATGTCCGTCTGTTGGACTTTGGGTGCCCATCTCTTTTGAAGAACTTCTCCTTACCACTGAATGAAATTTCACAGAATCTTTATTAAGGCAATATGAGCTGCATGTTTGAGAATTTTATTTTGCTGTGAAATTGTGTTATTGTCATTAATGTGTATGTAGCCTAAATATATATGATAAAAATACAAAATAAAGTTTAAAAATGATTCAGGAGAAATATTTCTGTACAACCAAATATTCAGTATTATATAAGAAATCATTATTGTACAGGACAACAATAATTAAATTTTGATTCAATCAGAGCTTATAAAAAGTTCTTCTACAGCAAATATGAACAACAGACGTATATAAACGTTCTTTTTTCCTGTCACTAAAATAATTAATTACAAATTTGAAATATTTTTTCCGATGCCAAACATGCAGCTCATATTGCTTTAAATAGTGTCATTGTGAATTAACTTACTCTTTGATCGGAATCTTATTTTGGGTTTTACATAGCAAAACACGAACACTGCCATCATATTCCTAAAGGAGGAGGGTGATTCATTAAAATTGTCTATTTTGATTTAAAAAAATCTTTTACCCCATTTTTTTGGGGGGGCATCTGTTTCAAAAGGACAATCATACTCTTTATGTTAATTTTCTACATTTAAATTTCAGTAAAAATGATACATCATACATCCATTTATACAACTGTGGATTTTTTTTTATCATATTCGAAAAGTCCATTTCTTATTTACTCCTCATCCACAAGTGTGGATCTCAATGGGATGGGACAAGTGTGTCCAGAACCTCCCGAATTTGCAGAATATTTAACATTTAATGTACAGAAATAGAGGCGAAGGGACATGTAATTATTTTTCTACGGATCTGGAACAAGTGAAATCCCCATATAGCGAATCTAAACGGAATCCGGAGGGAGTCTCATACAATAGGAGATTTTTTTTATTGGGAAAATATTACTTTTATTATATCGATGTATTAAATACGGTTTTAATTACACAGTTAAATTCAAGAAATGAATTACTCCTATGCAGAAAACATCTATCTTTATTTTTTCATGATTTCCTCTGAAAGAGTATATAAATCTTACATCCTCTAAGATCTAAGCGCAAATAAAGCACATATAGGATATATAACAATATACATTTTTTGAATGTCCTGGATAACTTACATTTTTTTTTTTTGAGAAGAGAAGCAGAGAATTTATGTAAGAATACTTTTGTAGCAATTTTTTGGAATATCTTTCTCCCTCTTTCTTCTCTTTCTCTCTCACAATCTCTCTCTTTCTCTTTCTATCTCTGCATACTTGAGAAACGGTACATCAATTTTAAGCCCTAGATAGTAAAGAATTTTTGTCTATAATATGTGAACATAGTCTTGTATTCGAAACTGTTATACGAACCTTTGTGTCATTTTACTAAACAATAATATTTTAATGAATCATATGAATTGACAAAAAAAATTAAGACTTAGAAAGGATTTTCTTACGTGTACCTTAGTAGTTAATGTGTAAAATTTATTTTCTTGACTTAATATGGGTACATATGTTTATTTTTTACACATTATTTTTGCTTGCTGTATATATTTCTTATAAAATAATTTTTTAAAATCTTATACTGTCTCAAACTTAATCATTAGTATTTTTCAGTAGAGTCGGTACATGTGTGTATCAAATATTGAATTTTATTATCAAAGGCGAAGGCATTAACTGCTTTCAATTTCGGAAATAAGTGGGGGTGGCTGTAAAATTCCAAAATAAATGGATTAGATTTATTTAGAAATACATGCACATGTACGACCATTTATTACTTTTCAATTTTTGACTTTTATTATTGATTTAAAAAAAAACGAAAACCGGTTTCTTATAAGATGTATCTCCTACATTACTCTATTAATCCATGCATGTTTCAATCAGTGCCGGAATTCTTCAATCTATAATCTGTGTTATTCTGTACTTTGATCTGCTACAATATTACATATTATAGGTTTTAACACAGTGGACAATGTTTATGTTTTAGCGCATGCGCAATGCTGTGTTGTCAAGGACTTAGTCCTGCGACTTAAGCGTATCTTTTACGACTAGACTTACGCCATTTGGTGAAACGCAAATTACGCCCGACTAAATTTTGGCGTAAGCCCCGGAAGTACGCCTAAGTTAAGGCTTAAATCTACGACTTTTGATGAAACGGGCCCCTGATGCATAAGCAACCCTTTTCTGAAGAATGATGCCTAGACTGTAAGCTATAACAGAGTCCTAAACAATGTCGCTGGCAATATGCAATTGCTACCACGGGCAGTTTAAAACCTGGGGGAGGAAAATAATTTACACAGATACTTCTGAAACGAATACATAATTAACTCACCAGCATGTCATTGTGCAACAAAGTCGTCAGCATTTTATTTGTCCTTTGAAAGGGTGAAACGTTTTGAATGGCATTCGTATCAAAGAATGTTACAATAAACCAAGCTATCTTCTCAGAACATCTGGCTTTATTTACCCGCCGTTTGTGGCGTTTCATCTATAAAACCGGAAGTGCGAGTTCGTAAATTTGAAATCTCGATCCCGACTCAAATTTGACATCGGAAAGAAAAAAAATTCTTTTTTTCTGAAAATTCAAAACCTTGAGCGCAGGGTTTGTAAAACTGAAAATTAAATAAATCCTGGCCTTAAATATGTAATTAGATCATTAGTATTGTATATTAACAAGGAGCAAAGGATTAGATGTTCAAAGAATTCATGCATTTCACTATACAATCATTAGAGCCCCCCCCCCCCCCCTAAAACAAGAACCCCTGACCCTGGGGCCATAAAATTCACAATTTTGGTAGAAGCACTCTTGCTCATCATAAATATGTACTGAGTTAGTTTATTTAATACCCAGGAGCAGAGAAGAAGATTTTCAAATAAATCATGTATTTTCACTATATATAATCAATAGAGCCCCACCCTAACACCAGAACCCCTGACCCTGGGGCCATAAAATTCACAATTTTGGTAAAGGCACTCTTGCTCATCATAAATATGTACTTAGTTGGTTTATTTAATACCCAGGAGCAGAGAAGAAGATTTTCGAAGAAATAATGCATTTTTACTACCTATTTATTTAGCCCCGCCCTAGCACTAGAACCCCTGACCCCAGGGCCATGAATTTCACAATTTTGGTAGAAGACTCATAGCTGATTACAATCATGCAAACAGTTTGACTGCTTGATGTCCAGGAGTAAAGAAGAAGATTTTTAAAGATTGCATTAATTTTAGTGGTATTGGCCCCACCCCCTAGGCCCCAGGGGGGCAAGGATCATGAAATTCACAATTTTTGTTCTCCTTTACCCATAGATGCTTTGTGCCAAATTTGGTTGAAATTGGTTCAGTGGTTGCTGAGAAAAAGCTGAAAATGTTCAAATGTTAACGCACGACGGACGACGGACGACGCACGACGACGGACGAAAACAGATAGCAATAGGTCACCTGAGTTTACTCAGGTGACCTAAAAAGGAAACTAAAGGACTGATTTTTGGTTTACGCCTTTTACGTGAATTTTCACTAATATTAGACGTAATAAGGGAAACATGACTAGTAATTGTTTCATTGAATTATTATGATACTGGTAATTTGAAAGCGGATATAAGTGAATTTCTATTTTCTTAAAATCCATATAATTTTTTGGGGCTCTGTATACCGGATCGATATTCATGACGTTAAGCGTGAAGTCGCGATATGTTATGACGTTGTTCTTTAAAATACTACATTGTTCAATATAAAAGCAATTATCTCCAATTAAATTACGAAAAAATGAACCCGAAGACGAACATATCAATTTTTTAACATAGATTTATTTCAAATCAATTTTATTTTTTAAATACCAAAGGATAAACAAATTCTTCTGAACGATTTAAAAGTTATTGATATTTTCTTTAATCAAAACCTTGCCTGAAAACAAACCAAAAACGACGTTTTTCCTATACAATTCAATGTAATACCGTTGGAAATGTAACTCCAACAATGACATCTTTGGAATTCAATTACACAAAAACGTTGCAGACGAATTTTGTAAAATTTTCAGAGAATGGAATTCAAGGGTAGAGAAATCATATAGGCTATTTTCATGGTATGTTTTCGAACACTTTTAAAAGCCCTGTAAACACGCGACCTACGTTAAGTCTATGTAACGAAGATATTGTGTTTATCTGTCTGCAAAAGTTCAACAACTTAAATGGGTAATTTGATAAATAAACTATCAATAATTTAATTGTCTAAGAATAAGAGATCATATGTTCTTAGAAAGATCGCATTTATCAACAACACATTTTTTCTTCTTAAAATTCCACTATTTTACCAACTTTTTCTCCTTATACATGTACCTATGGATTCAATTTTATATTTCTTAAATTTTTATTTTCTTTTTTTTTGTCCACCTTAATTTCTTTTTCCTCTCTTTTTATTTCTTCATTTTGATAATTATTTTATATTTTAGGTATCTTGCCATTGGAATAACTGGTATTGTTATGTTTGGTACGTTAGTGATTGGTATGATTATTCTAAGGACAGTGAAACATAGAGGACGGGGAAAACGAAAATGGAGAAGAAACAAATCAGGTAGGTGTATGGAGTAGGTTTGAGGATGTTAGTTGCAGTGTTAGGGTTTAGGTGTGTGCGAGAGAGGGTGTGTGAGGGAGGGAAGGTCAGTGTGTGAGAGAAAGAGAGGAGAGACTAAATTTAAATATGCCCAATTTATGGCAAATGAGTGTTCAGCATTCAGTTGGTTTAATCAAATATTTATCCAATATATGGCACAACAACACCGTGACATACAAACGGGACAATTGACATTTGTAGAATTTTTGCATGATCCTTTTAAATTTTGTTTAATTCCTAAAAGTATTACGTTTCATAAAATAACGGTTTTCAGAATTTAAAAAATCTACTTTTATGGAGAAGAATAAAACATGTAAAAGTAAGATTAATATCAGTGTGCTCCATAACAAAAAATATTGAAAATACACTGGTACTTCTTCCTCCATTTTGTATGCGTGTTCAGAAAAGTTGAATACGTTTCCATATTTACCACGGTCTCAGAAAATCCAGAAATGAATGTAAGTAGACCAAAAATTTTGATGTAATCTTTTTAAAAAGTTGTAAGAACATATTTCTCATCTTTGCACTTTGTTTACTTGGTGGCACGCAGCCTACGTAAAGAGCCGTGATGATGTCTGCACTTAAGAACATGCAAAATATGCGACAAAACATTTTTTCAAATATCTAAGGAATGATGAATATTCGATCTGAAACATTGCTTAAGGATATCCGATCCTCAGCTAGGAAGGATAACTCCAAAAATTCATATTTAATTTGAAATGTATCAAGATGAAGCTTGAAAATGATATTTATCATGCAACAATTTTCATTATATTCATCTTTATAAGATTCAAGGTTTTTGGAAGTCTTACAAAGAGTCTTATAAAAGTTGACATATGTACCCTATAAATGGGAAAAAATAATAAAGTTTTAGAGAAACAAGACTTTCTTGAATCTAGCCTTAGATACCAATGATTATTAGCATGAAATGAAATAAGAAGTGATAAGTTGTATCTTGCAATGATAGCAAAAGCCTTTTACACTATATATGTATCATAGAATATATGACGGAAATAGAAGACAAAAAATACCAAATAGGTATAAAAATCATGACAATTTTTCTGAATGGCTGGATACCTACCGTTTTTTTAACCTAAAATATATTTTGTTGATCAATTTGCATTTAGAAAATGCATAGCTGATATTCCTATTCGCTTTTTCTGCAAAAAATATTAGAGATTTGTAGATTTTCCCTATATAATATGATTAATTTTAATCTTTATCTGAAAAGAAATACTGTGGATAAATTTACGTAGCTCTGAGGATTCAGAGATACTTTTAGGAGTATGTTTGATTACTTAACTGCTTGTTTCATAAACCTGACCATCGGACTACCTTAATTATATTGATATGAATTTTGCATTTACGAATTGTGAATCTGTTTTTAGGCGAGACAAGTAACAGCTTTTTAAAAAGCTTGCCTGACTAAATCAATCAATATCTGTAAGAAGAGTGTTAAACTTTTTGAGCAGTAATTTTGTGGGCTTAAAATATGTCCTTACTATGATATATTTTGAGAACCTTGTGTAAATGATCATTGATTTTATTTAACGTGTAGAAGAATCATCGCTACACTGCAAACTGCTGACTTCAACATTATTTGGGGGGGGGGGGGTGGTTCTGTTGTAGGGGTGGTTTGCCCTTGGATCTAAATTGATTTCAAGTTATATTGTATAACACCTATTATAAAATCTGATGTCAAATTAGGCATTGTAAACATTTTAAAAGATGGTTGTAATTAAAGGTACCCATTTTGTTTGAGTGTATTATCTCCACTGTGTAAATAATGGTGTGTTCATTAATGTTTTTCTTAAAATGGGGGGGGGGGGGGTCCACTATCATATTTTGAGAATGAAATAAAATAAAATAAAGGTTTAGGACTTCGCTTTCTTACAAATTGTGTGCATCTGAACAGATCGAGACATACAGTTGTATAATAGATCATGCATCTGGAAAACATGACTTAATTGTTGAATTGCGTTGTTTATTAGTATTGGAATAGTCCATTTATGGATTAAACCAACAGCGGGATTGGGAAACAAATTCTTTAGTGTTGCATGTCTATATGTATACTGATATATACGATCTGTTGTTTAAAAGAATTAGATAGAATTTGTAAATAGAATTTTTAGGCATTCGAAGGAGTTAAAAAGTTAATTCCAAGGAAGTTAGCACACCCATTCGTACAATAGAACACTCCAAAGAAATGGCGCGAATTTAGATAACTACATTAGGCTCTAAAAAAAGCAATTAAACCCTTTCGTAGAAATATATGGACTGGTCCAGTAGTATAGAAATACAAACAAAGGACATACGGACATGCTGAAACGGTAAATCACATGGAATGATCTGCTCCATGCTAAAAGAGTAAAGGAAGTAAACGCTGCATTATTTTGCATCAGTACTATCATTCTTTTTTCTGAAAACTCTTTCATTTAAAATGCAGGTAAAGAATTCCAATGTAAATCAGCTCACACAAAATCTAGCTCTCTAGGTATGATTTATTAGTTTCGGATCTTGGAAATATCAATCCTTATACAGCCTGACGCCGTGACGTCAGGCAATCATGATAAGTTCTAGAATCTCCCTACGATAATAAGGAAGACCACATTTTAACTGACCTTATATAAAGTCTGTGCTAGTTTATCATGTTCTCTGTTTAACAGTAGTTGTATATTTGCATTATCTTTAGGGCTGGGACGATACAACTTTTTCTATATCGATACGTATCACGATATTTGAGCCACGATACGATATGCATTACGATATGTTTAATTGCTCATAAAATCCTCTTTTGCATTGAAATAAACAAATTATTTCTTTGCAAATGAGAATAATTTATTCAAAATAGTTGTTTATATGTTGTAAAACAAAAATATTTTACTTAAGTAGTATTAATTATTATTTATTTCATATCTGTATTTATATTTAACTTAGTTATTTTATATATTAAACCCTAAATGTTAAATAAACAAAGAAAAACAGAAGTCAGATTTTATTGGGCGATATTTCGATATTTTTTTCAAATGTATCGATATGTGTATCGTCCTCACATATATCACGATATCTGGATATATCGTCCCAGCCCTAATTATATAAGTGTAAACAAGGGGAAATATATATTTGTTTGTTATTTAACGTCCCTTTCGAGAATGTTTCACCCATATGAAAACGCTGCCACCTTTCTGTAGAGAGCATCATATTTTGACCTAAACTTAGCACTCTTGAAAGGCCATTGATGTGCGAGGGATCTTTTTTGTGCCAGCAGCAACTACAACACAGCACCTCTGTTTATAGGATCTCGTTTGAACGGATCGACACATTCAACAATGGGATTAAGAACCGTGACGTAAGGATCAACTCCTTACTTCGCGACTCTAGAGCAGACGCTCAAAGCAATGCATTGCACCCCGCGGGCGATCACAGGTGCTTGCGGACAGGACCCCCCCCCCCCCCCGATATAGACCCCTGGGCTTTTTCGATTTTTTTCTCATAAAAATCTTTCATTGACATATTTGTGATAAGATCTATACCAGCAAATCGAAAAATTACCTAAAACAAACGTTCTATTAATTCCACCCTTCATTCTCTATATAAAAATCAACATATAGAGAGGGTATATATATTTTTATAAAATGTAAGTTTAAGCAAATTTTCTGAATTGATAGGATAGATTGCATCACAAATGTGTCATCCATATAAAATTTATGTGAAAAAAGTCTAACAGGCCCGGGGGTCTATATTGGGGGGGCGGGGGTCCTGTCCTCAAGCGCCTGTGCGGGCGATTGGAAATTAAACGAATACCATGTGCTAATGCTTTAAAAGAGAATGAAAACTGTTAATTTTATGGAATTCTTACACATTCGCCTTTTCTATTGTAACAAGGGGATTTGGAATTTACCATGCGATTCCCCACCTCTGGTTACTTATACTTGAATATTAAATTTCATCACCTTACGTGTTAGATAGCATGTAATGTGCTAAGTAAGGCAATTTAAATGCCAAGCATCTTTACAATCTTTTGTATATACATTGATGTGGCTACATTGATGCAACCTTTGTAAATAAAGTACTTGTGAATTGTATTTACCACATGAAATGCATCTAAAGTGTAGAGAGAGTAACGTTCCTCAAATACATAAAAACTTGTGGAGACACATATAAGGATTTTAAGACCAAAATGACTTCAGACTGTAAGCCTTGGGTAAAAAAAGGCAATTTTGATTTTCGTTTTTATTTTTGGATTGTGTTCTATACAATTGTTTTTAAAAAAAAATTTAAAAAATGTACTTATCCACGTTTGTCTGAAATTAAAACAGGTAATGAAACTTGTATCCTTTCTGCTTTTGACGTTTATTTTAAAACTTGCTCAGTTTGAAGCCATTTTTGAAGGAAAAAGTGTCTCTTTGTCTACACTGAAATTATGAGGAATGAAGCTTAATGTAATTAAGAAATAAAGTCCGCGTTTTCGTGAATGTTGCAGAATAACCTCCGAGGTCGAGAAATGTTGCTTGAAATATAAAAGCCGAGGAGTTAGCCGAGGCTTTTATATTTCAAACAACATTTCGAGACCGAGGAGGTTATTCTGCATCATTCACGACAACAAGGACTTTATTTCTATTTTACCATGGTCGATAAATACGGCTGATTGTTTCCTCTATAGAGAAACGAATTAGGTCACCATGTCTCGAATAACTGTTCTATTTAACACCAGAGAGAAATTTTGTTGACTTACCTATATATGGAATGCAGATGATTTGAGCTTTCGTTGCATTAAAAAAAGTCTTGTTTAATTACAAATTTGTTCGTAATATGTATTGAACAGTTAAAATGAATATACAAAAACAAAATAATGTTTTTGTTTTACTGCTAAAATCACGTTGTTTAATGTGTAGGGAGGTCCGTGGAATAGCCCCGCTTAGCTATAGAAACCGACATTCATCAGCAACTTGATGCAATTT